CGCATTTTACAAATCAAGAAAAGAAAATGGACAAGGTAAACCAAACAAAGCTCTATGATTTCTGTGTATATATATATATACATATGGAGAATCGTTTCTTCAGCAAAAATACATGGACACCAAACTTAGCAGAAAAACTGTAGATCGTCTCTTGCTCCCATGCTAGTATGACCCGGGCTTGTTTTACAAAAGAATCAAAAAAAATTATGTAGCCTTTTCATCAATAGACCGTTCAGGAATAGGAGGTCGAAGAATGTTCTTCACAATTCCCACCTTCGTTCACAAGTTTCCAAATCAGTAGAAAAAAATGATATAAAGATACAAAGTGTCCAATCTACTTCGAAGCAAGGGAAAGATGCTCAAAACAGATGCAAGGATATTTTTCGTCAACAAATTTTTTTTATAGGTGGACTTTCATAAGCAGCTGTCGCATTGTTTGGTTGGTGCCACTTTACAAGTCATTGCCTCATTGGATTTGGAGGTCGTCTTCTTCATCTTCTTCTCACTTACTTTCTTGCGATCGGATAGTAATAAAATTTACATGTACCTGAAACTTCATCGGAGGTATATGAACGGCAATGTCGATCGATATTCGCGTCAGGAGAGATATTCCCAAATGCCAATGAAAAATACTAAAGATAGCATGCGTGTAGAGGAAAGAGTGGATTTCAAGATGAACGAACCAGACCTGGCTGGATCAAAATAATAAAAAGAGAGAAAAAAAACTCAGGATTCTAGCTTGGAAGGTGAAGCATGTATATTCTAGTTCGTTTTGAGTCCAGACTGCAAATATCTTGTTGGAAGGCTCCATTAGTGTTGCAGTAGGCCGCGACATCCCAGCCGTCTGCAAAAGGATAAAGCACCAACACAGATGGAAGAAAGGCAATGTCGCTACTACACTGAGATTGTATTGTGTTTGCTCTCTGCACCAATCCATCGGCATTCAATTAGTCAAAACAAGTGTGGTTTTGATAGCTTGTGCTAACTTCTATACCTATACAATCCCAACACAATGAATGCTTGAACGACGTTTTGTTTTGGAAAATTATCGGACAAGAAGTCCTTAAAAATCAAAGTAATTATAAAACGTGTGGCAAGGACAATTAACGGACAAAGTCCATAATATAAAAACATTAACAGGAAGAAACCTGCAAGATTGTTGCTTTAAATAATTGTTTATTTAGCATCGTTTGACACAAGATTGTTGCTTTATACAGTTCTAGCGTTGCATAGCTCATCAACTGAATCCCCTCTTTCAAAAACTGCAGCAGCCCCCATACCTGAGCCTGCAACAAGGACACACTCTTAGTCGCGTTTCATATTCTCATATGAAGCTCTCAATATTCTGCCTTCCTTCATAAACAAATCAAGTGGAAGGGTGCAAAACGATACCTATGCACATGGAGATAACACCAAAGCGGTGATCCCTGCCACGACGCTTCATTTCATTCAGGAGAGTTGCTACACAACGAGCACCTAACACAAGAACAGATACAGTATTCACGTTAAATCACACAGACCCTCACTTCCTCGTTGTTCAGTAAGACCAGGAAATAAACCAAATAATAGCACATTAGACACACGTGCACGCATGTTTATGTCATCACACATCTGTTCGTCGCAGGAATCTCCTGGCGGACGAGCACACAGCTCCCCTGGGAGAATGGCGTCGGTTGAGGGTATCTGTCGTACTTCTGCTTTCTTCTCGGGCTCGCTCGGGCAAGCCTTTGTCGGGCAGATCTTGGTCGGGCAAGACACACTTCGGGCAAGGCTCGTCGGGCAGTTCTGAAAGAGAAGGACAGAGTTAATTTGAAAGGGTGCCTTCGTGGGGCCTTAGATGTAGGCCTTAAGGCTCACAATCAAGATTAACTTTGTCGTGCTCAGGCGTGCCACTGCCATCTTCAGTATGGCAGATGTTGAATGGGTGTTAAGCTTTGATTGAATATGTATACGCCCGAGAAACCAAGTTAGATATAACAGGTGCCTTTGTGCGGCCTTAGGTATAGGCCTTGAGGCTTCCTGTCAAACTAAACCAGCGCTTGGATGTATCATATTTGGTCTTTTATGGTTGCCCGAGTCTTATCACTATTATACTTTTGATTATCTGAATCCAAGAGGTAGGACGAACCCAAATGAGTGCCTTTGTAGGGCCTTAGGTATAGGCCTTGAGGCTTCCCATCAGAGTTAATCCTTATACTCGGACCAACTAGACCACAACATGAAATGAAGCTAAATAGATGCCTTCGTGGGGCCTTAGGTGTAGGCCTTGAGGCTTTCTATCAGAATTCACTCCCTGCTTAAGCCTTTCTATGAATCAAAATATAATAGCAACAAAACGGAGAAATAGATTTGATTACTTGCGCCCCAAGTAACTTCGGACTTCTCGCTTATCAAGGATTGTCGTGGATGGTTGTTGAGTCCACATAGAGTTCTTTTTTATGCCTTGAGGCCAAGGACTTTTAAACTGATCTTTAAATTACATGCCCGCCGGGCTTGAGACTTAGATCTGATTTGAACTCTGACACGATTCAGATCGGATCTAAGTGCTGAAGACTCATTTTCATTATGACTTTGCTAGAAATAACTTGTATATAACTGGGAATATATAACATGTTATTGTGCTTTTAAAAAGAAAGAAAAGACAAAGACAGAGCAAAGATAGTCGGGTAAGTTTGAACCTTATCGGCCAAGGCTGAACTTCTTACAAAATCTATCTTTGTGGCTCTGTCAGAGGTCTGAAAGCTTTTAGAGGGGTTGACGGGGGAGAAGAGGATACAAAATGAATCGATACCACCATGAACAAGGTAGCAGAGCTATTACAGGGGTTTGGGAAGGTTTATCCCGAATGGGATGAAGGCTTGTGCTGACTACAGCTTCGTTGAAGGCAAATCTGGCTTGAGCAGAGTTTTGGCTTTTGTTTGTTTGTTTGAGTGTCCTTAATTCTGTCTTCTCTTCCTCCTTTTATAGACGACTTCAGCTTGGGTTCCTGTAGCAATAGAGGTTGCCCGAATGCGGTTTGGTGATGACTCACTAGCTTTTTTACATGAATGCCACCAATAAAGTACTTTATTGGGCTGTGCAGTGACTGAATAACCTACCCCCTGTGGTCTTTGAGCAGGTAAGCAGGTGGCCTTTGTAACTTGTGCCCAGCCGAAAGCCTCTTTCCTGCCTCCTAAGTTTTCCTCTGGGCCTTGGGTTTGGGCCGGCCTTCTCTCTGGCCCAAAGTTCAGATTTTATCCCAAACAACATCAGCTTCAGCTTCACTTCATATACCTGTAGCGCCTAAAGGATGGCCTAGAGCAATAGCGCCTCCATTAACATTGACTTTTTCAGGATCAAGCTCCAATTTCTTGCAACAATAAACATATTGAGATGCAAATGCCTACAGAAAACCAATTAAACTGCTCAGCTGAACATTCTTCCAAACTAAACTACATTTATCGTGAATGTTACAGTTTTCATTAGCAATGGACTACCTCATTTATCTCAAACAGATCAATATCATCAAGCTCAAGACCAGCAGATTTCACTGCTACTGGAATTGCAGCAGCTGGACCTACTCCCATGACAGTGGGATCCACACCAACCGCAGCAAAACTCCTGCACAGAGATCATAAAGTTGTATCGAAAGTACAAAGCAAGCTGTAGTTAGTTCTTGAACATATCCATCTCATGGAAATTAACTACAATTCGCAACCAAAAGAATTATTAAGAATTAATATAACATAACAGTATTGCAGAGTCAACTCGAGAGCCCTCATATTTTTTCTACTTGAAGCAATTAGATTGAACAGATTTAATCAACATCATACCTGAAAACACCAAGAATAGGAAGTCCCTTCTGCATAGCTAAACTTCTTTTCATGAGGAGGACTGCTCCAGCACCATCACTCACCTGGCTAGCATTTCCTGAAAGACAAAAGTAATGAACTGATTCACAATGATTGAAACAAGATAAACAAAAATCAATGTTTTAAAAAGCACGCCCAAAGCTCACCTCAGGGCGCGCCTAGGCGTGAGGGTTGCCGCCAGTGGCGGATCCAGGAATCTTACCCCAAGGGGTCGCAGTGTAAAAGTTCAAATAAAAATTTAGGATGGAAAAACATATTGAAAATGAAATCATAGTACTACTTCATTCATAATTCATAATGGAAACAATATTACAAACTATAATTGTCCACGACGAGGTTTCATATTTTGAAAACGAAGCATTATAGCTTCATTTTCAATACAAGCAAAAATATCTCTCTCAATATAAACAAGCAAGCTATCTCTCTCAATATAAAAGTGGAGTGTATATGGTATTATAGTAAGAACTAGTAGTTTCAGTGCTGAACACTCAATGGTAGATTAACTGCTGATTAACGTGTTAATGCAAACTATAATTTTGGGTGGTATATACTACAAATAGAAACAGCCATGATTTGATTCTTCAGAATTCGATTGTGCAGCATTAGCTAGAGCATGAGAGTTTTTGAGTTTTGACCGATATAGATTCATAATTGAAAAATGTAAATTAAAGAAAAAATAAATTACACACATTGGTATTTACACACCCAAAAGGGTGTTTTTTTTTTTTTTTTTTTGGTTTTTATTATTTTATTATTTTTGGTAAATACAACAAACCCAAAGGTTAAGAGATACAAGCAGTCGAAACTACATAAAACGAATGAAAGCATGATACAATCAAAACAAGGCAGTCCCAAGACAAGTATGTGTGCTGCCAAAAAAGAAACTTGGAGATAGATGGGGAAAGACAGCAGACCCAGCCCCCTTGAACATGAGAAATCTTTTGCCAATCTTCGTCGATTTCGCACTAGATTCCCCTCTTCAATTGAGGACAATGCTCTATTTTAACTTCGAGTGGATGCATCCCTTCTGGTAGAGAAACCAATTTTGGACACTCACTAAGGTGAAGTATTCTAAGGGATGTGAAACTTGTCAACCACTCAGGTAATGCATCCAAGTTTTTCACAATCCCAAATACACAAGACTCGTAGGGTGTTAGCAGCTCCCTGCAACCATTCGGGCAATGCCACCATCCTTGGTGCTGCCGCAATAGAAAATCTTCGGAGCCTCAATGGAATTAGTTGATAGTTTCCGTTCTCCAAATCAAGCTGCTCACAATTCCATATCAATAGAGTGTGTAATGTAGCAAGATAACTCATATCACGTGGCAAAGAGGTTAGATTACCACAATGCCAAATAGAAAGATACCGAAGTGATATCTTCCTCTTCCTGCCGAGTCTTCGTTCAGGCTTTTTGTCGAACAGTTGGTGTGCGAGTCCGACCCCGACGACCCCAGCTCCAAGAGGTCGCATATGGGAGCTTCAAGGTTGTTTCCATGGTTTCCAAGGGGTCGTGCGACCCCGACGACCCCACTGTGGATCCGCCACTGGTTGCCGCCTCTGTTTTGAGGGAATGGGCGGAAGCCGTCGCTGGAGCCGCCTAGACGGCAGCGCGCCTCAGGGCATCCAGGCATCTCTGTTTGGCTGCTTTTTTCTTTCTTTTTTTTGACTCCCAAACCCAAATTTTGGGTAGGGCTTTAACTGCCTCATACCTCTTTCTTGCACTATCTTCTCTCTACCTTTTTTTTCTGATTTTTATTTTTTTATATAATGGATGTGTGTGCTGTCTGCGTGCATTGTTATATGTGCGCTCATGGTGCTTTTCATCTTCTATTTTATATATATATATATATATATATATATATATATATATAATGTATATATATTTATAATATATGTGTGTGCTCAGGATGATTATTGATTAATAATCTTCTTCTTTTTAATATAATATAATATATGTGTACGTTCAGCGTATATATTAAAAAATTTAGGTCCCGTGAAGCTTCGCCTCATGCCTCACGCCTAGGCGGGGCTATCCCTCAAACGTCTCACCCACACCTCGGCCTTTTAATACACTGACAAAAATATAAAAAAAATAATTCTTACGTAAAGAAAGAGTTGTATAAAATTAAACGAAGAAACTGTCATGTGTAGCAGGCAGAATGCCTAATAAAAATCGAGTGAGAAAATACCTGCAGTTGTAGAACCATCTGGTTTAAATGCAGGCCTTAGCTTTGCCAAATCGTTCATGTTTGTATTTGGTCGGATACCATCATCCACAGAAATTGTAACAGGCCTCTCCTCCCCGGTTTTTGGGTCCACAATCTGATGATACAAATGACCTATTACAAGAAAACAAAATACAATTGTACTTATGCTAAGGCATTTTGCGAACTGAACAGAGAACATTTTTATATTTACCTTAGTTGATACAGGGACAATTTCATCTTTGAATTTGCCAGATGCTGTGGCTACAGCAGCACGCCTATGTGATTCAACCTATTTACTTGAATTCATTAAATTACACCTTCAGCATTACCAGTTTATCTAACGGTTAATGGATGTTATAACAGATAAAAAAAAAACTCACAGCAGCTGTGTCTTGCTCCTCCCGAGTCACACCATAACGTTGTGCAACATTTTCAGAAGTAATACCCATAGGAAGAAGGCAGTTGCGCGCTTGTGCAAAGATATCCACCTATTGACAAGATATATCAGTACGAAAAAAACCTTCCTTTTCTTTATGTTAAACAATATATCTAGTAAACAAAGAGAGTTGGAATATACTTTAGGGTTAATTTTACGGGATCTGCCAAGTTTATCAACTGTCATGGATTCCAATCCTGCAGCAATGCCTGTATTCAAAACAAAGATCAAGTCCACTGGTGGAGAACACCTGGTGTCTAGAATAGATGCATAATCAAGAGTATTTTCTCACCGATGTCATAATATCCTGCTTTTATAGAAGCAGCTACATCAGCAACTGCCTGAAGGCCAGATGAACATTGCCTGTTGACAGTTCTGATGGGAACTGTATCTGGACAAAACCGACAAACCATAACACAAACAACAACAACAACAACAAAGCCTTTTCCCACTAAGTGGGGTCGGCTATATGAATCCTAGAACGCCATTGCGCTCGGTTTTGTGTCATGTCCTCCGTTAGATCCAAGTACTCTAAGTCTTTTCTTAGGGTCTCTTCCAAAGTTTTCCTAGGTCTTCCTCTACCCTTTCGGCCCCAAACCTCTGTTCCGTAGTCACATCTTCGAACCGGAGCGTCAGTAGGCCTTCTTTGCACATGTCCAAACCACCGTAACCGATTTTCTCCCATCTTTCCTTCAACTTCGGCTACTCCTACTTTACCTCGGATATCCTCATTCACAATCTTATCCTTTCTCGTGTGCCCACACATCCCACGAAGCATCCTTATCTCCGCTACACCCATTTTGTGTACGTGTTGATGCTTCACCGCCCAACATTCTGTGCCATACAACATCGCTGGCCTTATTGCCGTCCTATAAAATTTTCCCTTGAGCTTCAGTGACCTACGACGGTCACACAACACGCCGGATGCACTCTTACACTTCATCCATCCAGCTTGTATTCTATGGTTGAGATCTCCATCTAATTCTCTGTTCTCTTGCAAGATAGATCCTAGGTAGCGAAAACAGTCGCTTTTTGTGATCTTCGCTAGATTGCTCCGGTCATTAGTGTGGATAAGTATATAAAATGGATAGAGATAGGAAAGCAAACACCAAGATGTACGTGGTTCACCCAGATTGGCTACGTCCACGAAATAGAGGAGTTCTCATTAATTGTGAAGGGTTTACACAAGTACATAGGTTCAAGCTCTCTTTAGTGAGTACAAGTGAATGATTTAATACAAATGACATTAGGAAATATTGTGGGAGAATGATCTCGTAATCACGAAACTTCTAAGTTCCGGAGTGTGGTATCGTCTTAACTTGCCTTATCTGTCTCATAGGTAGATGTGGCATCTTCTCTGGAAGTACTCTTCCTCCATCCAGGGGTGGTATCTTTAACTGGTGGAGATGCACAAGGTAATGTATCAATTTCACTTGAAGCTTACTTGTAGTTTCAGGCTTGGTCAAGCGCGATACAAACCATGTAGTAGGAGTCCTCCAAGTCGCCGAGCTAGGGGATCTGCTGAAAGAGGTGACAGACAAGGTAAGCAATCAGAGCTCCAAGCAATCAGTCCCAGATCAGAACTTTGATTTCGAGTTCCGGCTGATTGTTCACATTCTCCCTATCTTGCAGGCAGCATGAAGGATAAAGAGAAGAAAAATGAGAAGAGAAGATATGGGATACTTTTGCTTTTGAAGAAGTAACTTTCCACAGGCTTATTCTTGAACTGGGCTGGAGGGTTTTCTGGTTTCCTCCAGAGTATAAAGGCCGACTGAAGAATTTGAGGGTCAAAACAAGTCCATCAAATCTATAGTACGTTCGACCCTGCTGATATGGGATACTTTTTCTTTTGACAGAGTAGTGGATGTATCGGCACGTGTGCTGTTACGCTTGTCTCCACATGCTTCCTTGTATCCTTCTCACTTGCCCTATATGTTCCTCAGGCAGATGCGGTATCTTCCCTGGAAGCATAAGATGTTGAAGATGAGTACTCGAGAGCAATGCCAGGTAAGTAATCAATAAGGGGTTCCAGGCAGTCAGTTCCTGACTGGAAGCTTGATTCCAAGTGTTGACTGATTGCTCTCTTTCTCCTTGTCTTGCAGGTAAAAACAAGGCCAAAGGAAAAGACAGGGAAAAAACATGATATGGGATACTCTTGCTTTTAACCATGATGATATGAGATATTCTTGCTCTAGTATAGCTTGTTTGCAGAGGTATTATCGGGGGGAAAGAAAGCTGAATATTTCGAAAGGCTTCTTTGGGAGTGCCCTCTCAGATATGAGGAAGGGTTGAGCATTTTTGCAAGTCTGCCTGTCTGTTGGAGATGGAGGTCAACATATATAGGAGTCTCCCTAACAACAAGTAGTAATGCTATTCCTTTACCCTGCTTGGTCATAACACGGTAGTGGGAGCTGCCAGCTTCACATGTTTTAACTCTGTCAGAGCACTTGGAAAAAGTGGTATGTGGTATCTGGAAAGCTGATGTTGCGTGTAAAGATTACAGACAAGCTTTATCCAAGGAGATCCGGCTCTTGAAGTTGGGAAAGTGGTGCCTCTTCGGTTTTCGAACAAGCAATCTTGTCGGAGATCTGGCTCTCGAGATTCGGAGAACGATGCTTTTTCAATTTTTGAGAAAGCAATCCTGCTAGGGGTCTGGCTCTCGAGATTCGGAGAGCGGTGTCTCTTCGATTTTTGAGAAAGTAATCATGTTGGGAGTCTGGCTCTCGAGATTCGGAGGGCGGTGCCTCTTCGATTTTGGAGCAAGCAATCTTGTTGGGAGTGTTTTCTCGAATGTGAGAAAAGGTTGGGCATGTTTGCTAGTCTATCTTGCCACGAAACACAGAGGTTGACACATAGGGACTTTCCAATTATCCAGCAGAGGTATTGTTCCTTTACCCTTGTGGGTAATAATATGGTAGCTAGACCTTCAAAATTTATGTGTCTAAACTTTGTTAGTGCTGTTTCTTTGCTATTCTTTTACCCTTCTTGGTCAAAGCGATGTAGTGGGAGCTGCAAGCTTCACGTGTCTCAACTTTGTCAGAGAACTTTGGCAAAGTTATCTGTGGTACCCATGAGCTAATGTTGCGTGTGGGAAGTGGGTGATTGAACAGTAAGATTCATGTGCTTTCTACTTCACCAGAAATCTTCGACAGAATGCCCATAATTTCCGCAAAGCTGACAGGTGCTGACAAGGCTGGAAAAGTAGGTGCCTCTTCGATTTCTGAGATCGGCCCTCGTGGTCTCTGAGCAGCCCAGCTTTTGAGAAAGCAAGCGCCTCTTCGATTTCTGAGATCGGCCTTCGTGGTCTTTGAGCAGCCCAACTTTTGAGAAAGCAAACGTCTTCGATTTCTGAGTCTCTGAGCAGCCCAGCTTTTGAGAAAGCAAACGCCTCTTCGATTTCTGAAGCTCTTCGTCGAGTGCAGATTTTTATAGAGGCTGGCATTAAGTTCCAAAGCACACTTGAATCTCCACCAGTAGAAGCTCCATTCTTGCACTTCTAAGATCTTGATTTGTCCGACCTCTTCTCTCTTCAACACCTTTGAAAATGTCTGGCCCCTCCGACCGTCGTTTTGACTTGAACCTTGTTGAAGAGGCAGCCACGCCTTCTCCAGACAACATATGGCGCCCATCCTTCGTCTCCCCTACTGGTCCTCTTACCGTTGGGGATTCCGTGATGAAGAATGATATGACCGCTGCGGTAGGTGGCCAGGAACCTTCTCACTCCCAAAGATAACAGACTACTTTCCAAACGGTCTGATGAGTTGGCTGTTAAGGATTCTCTGGCTCTCAGTGTTCAGTGTGCAGGTTCTGTGTCTAATATGGCCCAACGCCTATTTGCTCGAACCCGCCAAGTTGAATCATTGGCGGCTGAAGTGATGAGTCTCAAACAGGAGATTAGAGGGCTCAAGCATGAGAATAAACAGTTGCACCGGCTCGCACATGACTATGCTACAAACATGAAGAGGAAAGCTTGACCAGATGAAGGAATCTGATGGTCAGGTTTTACTTGATCATCAGAGATTTGTGGGTTTGTTCCAAAGGCATTTATTGCCTTCGTCTTCTGGGGCTGTACCGCGTAATGAAGCTCCAAATGATCAACCTCTGATGCCTCCTCCTTCTAGGGTTCTGTCCAGTACTGAGGCTCCAAATGATCCCCCTCCGGTGCCTTCTCTTTCTGGGGCTCTACCGACTGCTGAGACTTCTCCTAAGCAACCTTTGTGAAGGCTCCCTCTTGTTTGTTTATTTTGACTCATGTATATGTACATATTTGTACTTATCGGGGATATCAATAAATAAGCTTTCCTTCATTTCAACGTATTGTGTTAAATACACCAAAGCCTTCTTCGCTAAGTTCTTTGAATTTTCTTTTGTTGAAGCTTGTATGTTGAAGCTTTGTGAGTGGAGCATGTAGGTTGAGGTAGTGTTCCCTTAATTTCCCGAGTGAGGAAAACTTCTCGGTTGGAGACTTGGAAAATCCAAGTCACTGAGTGGGATCGGCTATATGAATCTTAGAACGCCATTGTGCTCGATCCTGTGTCATGTCCTCCGTTAGATCCAAGTACTCTAAGTCTTTTCTTAGAGTCTCTTCCAAAGTTTTCCTAGGTCTTCCTCTACCCCTTCGGCCCTGAACCTCTGTCCCATAGTCGCATCTTCTAATCGGAGCGTCAGTAGGCCTTCTTTGCACATGTCCAAACCACCGTAACCGATTTTTCTCTCATCTTTCCTTCAATTTCGGCTACTCCTACTTTACCCCGGATATCCTCATTCCTAATCTTATCCTTTCTCGTGTGCCCACACATCCAACGAAGCATCCTCATCTCCGCTACACCCATTTTGTGTACGTGTTGATGCTTCACACCGCCCAACATTCTGTGCCATACAGCATCGCCGGCCTTATTGCCGTCCTATAAAATTTTTCCCTTGAGCTTCAGTGGCATACGGCGGTCACACAACACGCCGGATGCACTCTTCCACTTCATCCATCCAGCTTGTATTCTATGGTTGAGATCTCCATCTAATTCTCCGTTCTTTTGCAAGATAGATCCTAGGTAACGAAAACGGTCGCTCTTTGGTATTTCTTGATCTCCGATCCTCACCCCTAACTCGTTTTGGCCTCCATTTGCACTGAACTTGCACTCCATATATTCTGTCTTTGATCGGCTTAGGCGAAGACCTTTAGATTCCAACACTTCTCTCCAAAGGTTAAGCTTTGCATTTACCCCTTCCTGAGTTTCATCTATCAACACTATATCGTCTGCGAAAAGCATACACCAAGGAATATCATCTTGAATATGTCCTGTTAACTCATCCATTACCAACGCAAAAAGGTAAGGACTTAAGGATGAGCCTTGATGTAATCCTACAGTTATGGGAAAGCTTTCGGTTTGTCCTTCATGAGTTCTTACGGCAGTCTTTGCTCCTTCATACATATCCTTTATAGCTTGGATATATGCTACTCGTACTCCTTTCTTCTCTAAAATCCTCCAAAGAATGTCTCTTGGGACCCTATCATACGCTTTTTCCAAATCTATAAAGACCATGTGTAAATCCTTTTTCCCATCTCTATATCTTTCCATCAATCTTCGTAAGAGATAGATTGCCTCCATGGTTGAGCGCCCTGGCATGAACCCGAATTGGTTGTCCGAAACCCGTGTCTCTTGCCTCAATCTATGCTCAATGACTCTCTCCCAGAGCTTCATTGTATGACTCATTAGCTTAATACCCCTATAGTTCATGCAATTTTGTACGTCGCCCTTATTCTTGTAGATAGGCACCAAAGTGCTCGTTCGCCACTCATTTGGCATCTTCTTCGTTTTCAAAATCCTATTGAAAAGGTCAGTGAGCCATGTTATACCTGTCTCTCCCAAAACTTTCCACACTTCGATTGGTATATCGTCTGGGCCTACTTGCTTTTCTATGCTTCATCTTCTTCAAAGCTACAACCACTTCTTCCTTCCGGATTCGACGATAAAAAGAGTAGTTTCTACACTCTTCTGAGTTACTCAACTCCCCTAAAGAAGCACTCATTTCATGTCCTTCATTGAAAAGATTATGAAAATAACCTCTCCATCTGTCTTTAACCGCGTTCTCTGTAGCAAGAACCTTTCCATCCTCATCCTTGATGCACCTCACTTGGTTTAGGTCCCTTGTCTTCTTTTCCTTGCTCTAGCTAGTTTATAGATATCCAACTCTCCTTCTTTGGTATCTAGTCGCTTTATACATATCGTCATAAGCCGCTAACTTAGCTTCTCTCTCACAGCTTTCTTCGCCTCTTGCTTCGCTTTTCTATACCTTTCACCATTTTCATCGGTCCTATCCTTGTATAAGGCTTTACAACATTCCTTCTTAGCCTTCACCTTTGTTTGTACCTCCTCATTCCACCACCAAGATTCCTTTTGGTGTGGGGCAAAGCCCTTGGACTCTCCTAATACCTCTTTTGCTACTTTTCGGATACAACTAGCCATGGAATCCCACATTTGGCTAGCTTCCCCCTCTCTATCCCACACACACTGGGTGATTACTTTCTCTTTGAAAATGGCTTGTTTTTCTTCTTTTAGATTCCACCATCTAGTCCTTGGGCACTTCCAAGTCTTGTTCTTTTTTCTCACTCTTTTGATATGTACATCCATCACCAACAAGCGATGTTGATTAGCCACGCTCTCTCCTGGTATAACTTTGCAATCCTTACAAGTTATACGATCCCCTTTCCTCATTAGAAGAAAATCTATTTGTGTTTTTGACGACCCACTCTTGTAGGTGATCACATGTTCTTCTCTCTTCTTAAAGAAGGTGTTGGCTAAGAAGAGATCATATGCCATTGCAAAATCCAAGATAGCTTCCCCATCCTCGTTTCTCTCCCCAAAACCATGGCCACCATGAAAACCTCCATAGTTGCCTGTCTCCCTGCCCACGTGTCCATTTAAATCTCCTCCTATAAATAACTTCTCCGTCTGAGCAATTCCTTGCACCAAGTCTCCAAGGTCTTCCCAAAATTTCTCCTTCGAACTCGTATCCAACCCTACTTGAGGTGCGTACGCACTAATCACATTGATAAGTTCTTGTCCTATTACAATCTTGATTGCCATGATTCTATCTCCTACCCTCTTGACATCTACAACATCTTGTGTCAAGGTCTTGTCCACGATGATGCCAACACCGTTTCTCGTTCTATTTGTGCCCGAATACCAAAGTTTAAACCCTGAGTTTTCTAGATCCTTTGCCTTACTAGACCAACCCACTTAGTTTCTTGTAGGCACATAATATTTATCCTTCTCCTCACCATAACTTCCACTACTTCCATAGATTTTCCCGTTAAGGTTCCTATATTCCACGTTCCTAAACGCATTTTGCTCTCTTGAACTCTACCCTTCTGTCCTAGCTTCTTCACCCTCCCCCGTCTAATAGGATCAAAGTACTTCTTTTGTGTGTCCCGTGTAAAGTTGATAGGAGCATATGCTCCCAAACAACTTTGAGTGGAGTCGTTCGAAAAGAAGTTTCTATGGCCCCCTTGCTCATTTAACACTGCATCCGGGTGCCTATGGAGATACAGCGACCCTTGCTCACTTATCACTGTGCTTGGGCCACACAGCACGCCACTTACGGGTGACGCCCTAGCTTTAGCGCGATTTCGTTCTGAATTCATTTTCATAAGGATTCGACGTAACTATGGAGTGCCAGCTGTCGACTACCTGACGCCCTCCCCCTCCTCCTTTACCCGACCTCCAAACTTCAAATATGGTTGAAAACTTACCGGGGAAGCTAGCGTAAAACGCTGCCATCCTGCACTCAGTGGCTCTAAGTGAGCCAGGTGCCCTAACTGTACCAACAACTATATCCCCCACCTCACTTGGGTTCAAATTTGTTCTCTCTATTACTTCCTGCATAAAAAGTACACCATATGCCAATATCTTATCCCTTTTTTTTTTCTTTTCTAAATGCGATATTCTACTTTAAACTAATATAAACTGCACGGACAAAGATTCAAACTCGGCTTCATAGGGGCAGATACAAACATAATTAAAGAAAAACATTCATTCCTCCGGAATTGAGTTGGGAATTCAGGAACTGTAACAAACCTTTAAAACAGGTGCCAGTAAATCATCAGGTAGAGTGTCCTTAAAACCGCCTCGCTTTGCCTTGCAAATGGCAGTCCGATACACTCTATTTAACACGATTTTCGCAGAAAGATTTAATACAGAAAAGGTATAAAGTTACAAACTTTGCTATAAATTTTATACAAAGACACAAAATGTAGTAAAAATTAAGTAACTTTATAGTCAGTTTAAATCACTCACGCCACAATCACTACATCGTCTCCAAAAGCAGCTGTTCTATGGTAGGCAGCACTATTTCCAGCTGCACATATTGAAGCCTAACAAAAAAATTCAGAAGAAAATAAATTAAAACTAAAAAAAAAAAAAAAAAAAAAAAAAAAAAACTAAATAACATGAACCAAAAATATTTACAAAAATGAAGCAGTCAACAGAAAAGAAAGTGGATATAAACTTACAGAGAGAGCAACAGATTCAAAATTGGAAGAGGAAACAGAAGAATTGGGTCTCAAGTGCTGCAGCAGAACCCTCTGTCTGTTCATTGCTTTATCCATCTCTCTCTAGAAAATGGAATTTGAAGAAGGCTCTTTGATCAATTAAAATTTGTGGAGCAGCAAAAACATATGCAATGGTCTGTGGGATTTTATAGGAATTATGATTAATGACGTCAACCTCTAAAATTTCCAACTCCAAGTAAAATTTGACAACAGAGACCAACCCACTTAGTCAAGTTGTGAAATAAGGCACTGATATTAATATATATTATACTCCATTGCAGAAGACCACGAGGAGAACCAATCACAATTTTATATCACAATAATAATATTATTGTTGTTGGATCTCTTTTCGGAATATACAAGGAACCAACTGCAACGTTGTTCACTGAAACCAATTATTGTTCTTTTCGAAAATGACTAACAAAAGTTGCCTGCGTGATGCTGCGGATTTTAAAACATTATAAAACATGTTGAAAGTTTTAAATATATACCGATAGACAATACTATTTACATACATGTGGAAATATATTTACATAGTCGTACCCATTGCACAAGGCTCCCACTTTACGCAGGGTCTGGGAGAGGTGAATGTCCCAGACCTTGCGTAAAGTGGGAGCCTTGTGCACTGGGTACGACTATGTAAATATATTTCCACATGTATGTAAATAGTATTGTCTATCGGTATATATTTAAAACTTTCAACATGTTTTATAATGTTTTAAAATCCGCAGCATCACGCAGGCAACTTTTGTTAGTCATTTTCGAAAATAACAAAAAAAAATAGGTGTCCAAAAGTGGGGGTTCATAACATTTTGCAAGTTTAGAGCACTGTTGAACTGCTTATTTTTCCAAAATAATCTAGGTACATATAAACTGATCAGCAATGAACTTTCTTCTTTACTAATCGACACTTCAGAACTTTCTTCTTCTGTTTTCATTTCGTTGTTACAAATCGGAAAAATGAAACTTGTTAATGTAAATAAATGGCAGTTTTAATGAAAATGAGAGAACAAAATATATGTGGTGTGCATTGCGGATGATAACAATGAAAATAAGTTGGAAGAGTATTGCCTTATCAAAGCAAAAAAAGCCCTAAACCTTAAATCCTATATGAATCCAAGCTTTCAAAACCATTCATACTCAAACCAATCAATTCAATCATGCTCAACCAATTCAGTCTAATATGTAAGGAAATTGCAATTCAAAACCATTCATACCATCTATTTCAATTTTACTCCTCGAGATTTATTTGACCGTCTAATTCTCACATGCTAACCCGTTTTAAGTAAAATAAGCCATTTTGGTATTTCAGTTTGTAGTTTCTAAAACTTCTATATATTTAGGTCTCTTCCTTCTCATTTAAAAATTATGAATGAATATACAAATGTCTTAATTTTATCTTCCTTTCTCCTTTTCTCTCCGTTTCTCCCCTTTTTTCATTTATGTACCATAAATATGTCAGATATAAGAACTTGATATATTGACACAGTTTCTTCAAACACACTAATACAATCACACAAAAAGGCAATATTTATGGTGAAAAGCCCGAGTTCCCGCCAATTTGTCCTCCACACTCTACCCTAATCTTCTAAGGTTTTAGTTAAACAACTGGCTCCTGTAACAACTATATTAAAGCACAAATATTCATGAAAAATCATCATCAACTGCAAAAAGGCACAAAGTATTTTACAGAATTCTAAAGATCCCTTAATTGCCTCAAACCCAGGTTTGTCCTCTTTGCCTTCCTCTTTCACTTCGATTTTTTTTCTGATGTTGGAATTTTTATTTATGGAAATTTAAGGCTTTGAAATATAGTATTGATTTCAGAGCCTATGGCAATTTACTTGTAAATTGTTAGACTATTGTACAAAGATTCATACAGAGAGTTAATGTAAATTGATCAGATATTGAATTACAAATTGACAGAAGTGCGTAACGTTCCATACATCGGCATCATTCCAATTCGATTTCCTTGCCCTCACCCAAAAAGCAGAAGCTCAAAGACAAAAATAGAAAATAAAATGGCATTCGGAAAGAGAAAGTCGTTGACTTTTACCTGAGGAAGAAGAGAAGGTGGTGATATTCGCTTGTCGATGTCTATACGGAGGCTTTGCCGGAATCTAGTTTTTCAAATTGAGCTTCAATCTCCTTCAAACCTTCACCAAATCGTACATGCAAGGTATGAATCTTGATGTAGGAAGTGAGATTGGTGGTGGTTTGGGGTGTTTATGGGTTCGTTTGAAGGGGGTTTCGACTTGTGCAGCTCCAAAAAGAGGGAGCGATGTCGAGCAGAAGGTGACATTGAGAGGGAGCACGACGTTGAGTGTTCAGCGGAGAGAGGAGAGAGGAGAGGAGAGAAGATGAAATGGACGGACTGAGCAGAGTGTCTATAAAAATGGACGACCGAGATTCAAAGTGGACTGTCAAAACAAAATTGAAATTACACCATTAAAGTGGGGGCATTTTCGGAAGTACACTGTGTTTATGAACAGTATTTCAATTGATTTTGAGTTTTAGTATATATTAAATTTACACACATCTTTTCTTGTTTTGGTTTATTCAATTCATATACTAAAATCAAACATGAGTTTGCAAAGAAAACAAAAATAAGCCTGTGAAAATTACTTTCTACAATACAACTCAGTTGAAGCTCCCTCTCCCCCAACGACTACTTTTTGTGTTTTTTTTTTTTTGAACAAATGATGTTATTTACACTAAGGAGGAAGGTGTGGACTGAAGGTTAACAATAATATTGTTCAAATTTTCTTTTACGAGAATCAGACCTAAAATCTCTCATTTACAAATGAAGAGAATATCACTCGACCGTAATAATAAACGGCTACGTTTTTTGTGTTTTACCAAAAGTCAATTTGGAAACCAATATGAATTCCCACTTGAGACCAATTTTAAAACATTTGGTAGGTGTGAATCATTTTACTATTGGCTTGAGAGCAATTCCACCATAGAAAAGGCTCCCCCAGGCTATTCACTATTTTATCCATCCAGTGAACAGTAACTGCCCTTAATGAACAGTAATTGCATTTTGCATCTCCACCCCTACACTGAATAGCCCTGGCAATAGGCAATAAAATATTAGTATATTTTTTTTTATAAAATAATGCAAAATAATTTAATTTGTAATTTCAGATAATATTTTTAATCGTTTTCGTTGCGCCACATGTCATTATCGGAAAAGATAATTATTGGTGAAGGATTTCGATAAGATTTTTATCCAATGCCGTCATGCCACGTGTTGTTACCTTTTTAGAATCGTTAATGATAGATTTCCAATAAGATTTTTAACCAATCACGTCGCGACAAGTGTCACAATCTGTTTACAATCTTTGAAGATAGATTTCGATCAGATTTTTAACAAATGACTGCATGCCACATGGCATTATCTACAACATAATCATTTGTGAATCCTCTATATAATCCACCATCAATTCTTAGAAATCTCACACCAATTTTATGAAGACCTCTATCATTATTCATAGTTTCTGCTTCCTTCTTCACCAAAATCAAAATATGTATCATTATTCATAGTTTCTGCTTCCTTTTTACAATGTCTTCTTCTTCAAGGATGATGTCGGAAATTGATCAGTAAGAGGAAGAATTTTTTAACCATTCAGAATGAATGGTCAATCTCCAGGTGGCCCAAAATGAAGGGGAAGAGAATGAGGAGCGTAGAAGGAGAGATGACGAAGCAAGAATGGGCAGAGCCTCACATTCCCGTCGAGTCATCCAAGTTGTGGGTCAGATCTGCAGGCCCATCCGTTCAGGAAACCTTGATAGAAGCAGGTAACGACAAGGTATGGAACTCTTGGACAATTATTTTGTCCGTAATAGTGCATTCCCTGATACGTACTTTAGACGTCGTTTTAGAATGGAACTACATTTGTTCAACAAAATCATGATTGTTGTTTGTAACCATGATTATTACTTTGTGCAAAAAAATGATGCTTTTGGTGCTATGGTTCTCCTTGCTGAGTAAAAAATTACTACTGCCTTGCGGATACTTGCATATGGAGCATCTGCAGACCAAGTGGATGAGATAGCGAGGATGGGGAAATTAACCATTATTGAGTCCCTTATGAGGTTTTGCAGAGCAATCGAATCTATTTACACCGCAGAGTACCTCCAGAGACCTACTGACATGGACTTGCAAAGGCTTCTGAAGAAGGGCGAGATGCGAGGTTTTCCTAGGATGATTGGAAGCATCGATTGTATGCAATGGACCTAGAAAAATTGTCCAAGTGTGGCAAGGCGCTTATGGGGACAGAAAAGGAGCAAAAAGTATCATTTTAGAGGCATTGGCATCTTTTGATACATAGATTTGGCATGCATTTTTTTTGGGTTTGGGAGCTCAAAATGACCTTAATGTCCTTACCCAATCCCCAATGTTCAACGATGTCCTGCAAGAAAAGACACCAAGAGTCACGTACTGGGTCAACGGACATAAGTACGATGGGCCATACTACTTAGCAGACGACATTTACCCAAGGTGGTCATCGTTTGTCAAAACAGTGCCACGTCTGCGAAGTGCAAAGGAAAAATACTTTGCAAGCTTTCAAGAGGGGTGCAGGAAGGATGTAGAGTGTTACTTTGGTATCCTCCAAGCTCGATGGGCGATTGTCAAGGGTGCTGCCAGAATGTTTGATATAGAGTCGCTTCGATCCATCATGATGACGTGCATCATTCTTCAAAACATGATTGTGGAAGATGAGTACGATTATGATGCCGTTGATGAATATGAGCCAGACACGATGAACAATTCCAGAACACAAATATATTGTGCTCATGACGCCACCGAAGAATCCCGTGCAACATGAGCCATTATAAAGGGATGGACGTTACAATGAAAGGCTCATTCAACAATATATTGTACTTCAAAGGTCATATATGCACAATGCCCGGCAAATTGACTTGATAGAGCACCAGTGGGAATTGAAACAAGTTCAAGATACTTAAGTTCATTTAGTGTGTTTGTTTTTATTTGGTGTGTTTATTTAATTTTATTTACTGTGTTTTTTTTAGTTCATTTAGTAAGTTTTTTATTATTTGGTATGTTTTAAGGCCGAGTTTTGGGTAGAGAGAGAGAGAAAGAGAGTGAAATTTTAAAAAAATTCAAAGTTTGAGGAAAGAGAGAGGAAAGTGTGATTAGTAGAAAAAGACCAATCTAATCACACAAACCAAGAAAAACAAAGACTTAACAAAACATAAGTAATTTTGCACCAAAACTTTCCATCTTTTGTTCTTGATATGAACATGAGAAACGCAACAAGGACAATGAAGAAAATTCATGAAAAACCCATAAAACCACCATAAACATTTTTCACCCAAAGACACCTGAAAACTCTCTCAAACTAAAGAGCAATAACATGTGGGTACTTTGGGGTTCCTAATGTCATTTTAAAACTATTTTAAAAAGACATACATAAACGCAAAGAATGTACCCATTGATTGGGCTAAATTTCCCTAACAAAAAGGCGCCAACTTTTAGCTCCAAAACTCATCCTCAAATTACATCTACAACTTTAGAGATGGTAAATTTTCATGCAAAATAAAACTTGTAACTATTACGGCAAAACCCGAAAGGGTTCATCAACTACTAGACCTAGGCTCTTGATACCACTTGAAGTAAAATATTTAATAAATTGAGTTCATTGGGCAACATAATACATGCATTTAACAATTAAACGGTGGAAGTATGCATGTATGCACTTTAAAACAAAACTTAAACCATGAAATTCAAAGTCTAATACTGGTGGTGAACCAAGACTCAACTATAAAACAAAGAGAGTTGAGAAACTGTATACCTTTGAAGCACCTTTTTGCTTAGCAAAGGTTATTCACCAATGAGAAGGACTTCATTACTTTACCTCCTCGCTCCTTGGCTCCATGGATAAGGATGAAGGAACTTTGCTTCTTTGCTTCTTGATTTCTTGGATTTGGAAGGAATGGGTTCTCCAAAAACCCCCAAAGGAGAGAGCCTCTAAGTTCCAACACCAAGGGTGGTTGAGGAAGAAGATGAGCGACAATGGATGAAGAGAATGCTAGCAATTTTCACCCATATTGGCCGGCCTTCTAGAGGAAGGAGAGAGTTTTGTGTTTTCTCTCTTTGCCTTTAGAAAACCCTAATGAAAGATGGAGCTATAAAGTTGTTTTTATAGCTCATTCTAAATGAGTGGCAAACTTGTAATAAGTGAACCATCATGATGTGATATAAACTAGCACTCAAATTAAACCCTCTTATTGACAATTGTAGTAAAGATGTAAGTAGGGATCGTTCTAAGCCGGGGATTAGAAGGTGATGCGAAATATATTAAGCACACAATAAACCCTCTTTTGTCAAATTGTGCAAAGATTAAGTAGGGATCGTTCTAAACTGGGGATTAGGAGGATTGCTAAACACTTGAACTGACTAAAAACTCAAAACAAAGTTTAAAACACTAAACTAGACTCAAAGAATGCAAAAGTAAAGGTTAAACACTTAAACAACCTAAAACTCAAAACAGCAACTAGAAGGCTCAAAACGCCTAAAAACCACTTTCTGGGCAGTTTTTGAGCACCTACACTAATTTGGACGAAATTAAATGAAAACTTGAATCAAAATACTTAAAACACAATCAAATACTTTCTAACTAATCGAAAGACTTCAAATGAGAGGGGATTTGTTTTGACGAAAAATTAACACAAAACAGAAATTTAATTAGCACAGATTGTAAAAACGATTTTGGGAAATAGATGGATAAAAGGCTAGTTAGGAGGTTCTTCTCCACACATGTCACACTTGCAAACAAAACGATTTTCAGTTGTTCTCCAATAAATTATACATATCAACGCCCCAGATTACCGTGATGCACTAATTAACCCTCAGTTTTTCCACAAGTTATTAGTTGGATGATGCATACGACAACCCAAAACATTCCTACAAGTCCCTACATGAATTGCATAATAGAGATACAAGCAAGAATCATTACGTTCTATGAAAAACATAAGCATTGACGAAGCATTTGTACTATGAATTGCATGAAACTTATGCTAAGAATTCATTCAACGCGATCGTTTTCAAGCGATCTTCACTACTTGTGATATAAGATTGTAACTATTAGGTGAAACTCCCTCATAATCTAGCATCATATCATGCATGAAAACTAAGCGTGCATCTCAATCAACATACACAAATAATTATCAATCAATAGATGAACGAATTGAATCCACAACTTTGAAATAACAACTGAATGTAATCGATCAAATTGCAAGCATGTACATGGTTTCGAATTACCCCAACTATGGGGGTTTAGTTCCTCATACCACAACAAAATTTATGAATTGAAACATCGAAGACATA